CACAGCAGGCCTGCGGTGTGAGGGAGGCAGGGCTGGCATCAGAATCAGCAGGTGGGTTTGGATTTGAGCCAGGGAAAGGCAGGAAGACATGATACCTGGGCCACACTCAGGGCCCTGGGGAGGAAGGGAGCCCCAAGAGATGAGGCTGGAGAGGACTGGGAACCATGTCCATGAGAGGCTGTCAACTGCCTGGGTCTGTGGAAAAAACAACAAATACTCCAGTTTCCCTTGAATGAGAAAATGGTCATTTCTAAAGTATTAGAACCCACGTGAACAGTCAGGGTAGGAGGTAGGGGGCCTAATTCATCTTTGCTCTCTGGTCATCTTTCCCTCTTTGCTTTGGCTGCTGGGAAGCCCAGGGACCATCAGATGTGAGTTTACAGGACTTCTTACCGTGACTTTTGGCTACTATTTTTAACCTGCTGTTGTATGGCTCTTTTATAAGTCTTGTTGTAAATGGCATGAGGCATATACAAACAAAGCACCCATCTATGTGAGAACTCACAGACGAAGAGGATGATCCTGGGGGCTGTAGAAGATTGGCAGGAAGTGATGGCACAGGGATGAGGGAGGGCAGGGCAGAGGCCTTGTGCACCCAGATAGGCAAGAACCCAGAAAACCTTGAGGCGCCCATTCACTCTCACTGTGCGTAACACAGCCATGGCCTCTGTAGCACTGCTCACAGCAGGAAGGCAAGGGCATCGTGCCTTGTGTGGAGATGACCCTGGGGCCAGACTGACCTGGGATCCCATCCTGTTCACTCTGTGCTGACCTGATTAGCCCCTTCTCCCCTACCCTCAGTCTCAGGGATGCAGGGGGCTTCCCTGAAGCAGTGCCCAGGAAGATGAGGGTCCCCTTCCTTACTTGCAGTCTGTACCTGCCATGAGGCTGGCTCAGCAGGGCCTGGTCATGTGAGACCTATGGACCTGGGAAGCTGAAAAGAATCTGGTTGTCTTAGTAAGCCACAAGCTTAAAAGGAAAACCCTAAAAGCAGTTATATGAGACCTGCATGGGCCAGGGGCTGCAGCACAGCCACGTCGGGGAGTAACGAACAAGTGGCAGGAACTGAGACTAACTTGACTGAGCACTGGGCTACGCTTAGAGCCGTGGCGGCACGGGCAATATGGAGAGGAGGATCTTGTGGGAGCTGCCGCCAGGTAGGAGGCAGAGCGAGCTCCGAGCTCAGGACCTGAGTTCTGGATCTGGCTCTGCTGCCTCCTTGCCAGGTGCTTTCAGAGCCAGCTTTGCTGTCTTGGGATGGGGTGGGAGTCTCTGTCCACCCACCTCATAGGGCTTCTGTAAGGGTCTGGAACATTCCTGAAGCACCCAGAGGGATACCGTCCCCCCCACCTCAGCCAGCGCCCTTATACCCACTGGCACAAAAACAGCAGAAAGGTGCTGTCTGGTCTGACTGCTGGGGCACACTACCTCTGAGTCTGTTTTCAGGGTCCCCACCCTAAGGCCTACAGCAGTGAGAGATGGACAGGGCTGTGGGTGAAGCAGGGAGGCCACTGTAGGACCCCAGGTAGTGAAAGGCTTGGCTCCCAGTCACAAGCCAGGGAGCAGTGGAGTCAGGCCTAGAGTCAGGTCTCCCAGGGCCCACCCAGGCCCACTACGGGATCTGCAAATTGCATGGTGGACAGTGACCGCATCCCCACACCCAAGGGACAGCCTTCCAGACCCAAAAGCTCAAAATAGCCCCGACCTTCAATGCCTTGGACTCAGTCTCACCCATCATCAGGATGAGGTGCATGAGATAAGGAGGTTTCTTTCCTTCCTTGAGGATGTCGTTCCTCCTGCCCCAACCTGCGGGGAGGAGACTGTCATCTGTCCAAGGGGGATGATCGTACTCCTCCACGTCCTACCTGGAGAATTTTGCTGGGTGAGCTGAGGCAGGGCAGCTTGTGGGCACAGGAGTTGTTGGGCATTACTGTCTGTCTCACAGAGAAGCATGGGCTCAGAGGGGCCGAGGAGCCTCTGCTGGAACCCAGGTTCTTTAACTCCTGATAATACAACCCTTGTCACCGCACTCTGCCAGCCTCCTTGGGAGGTCAACCACATCTCCAGGCCCTATTTCTGCATCTTCAGAATGAGGAGGCACACCTTGCCCTGCCCACCCTGCATGGTGCTGTGAGGGAGATGGGGGAGGGAAGGCGCCCAGAGGAGGGCTTGTTCAGGGAGTGGCGTCCCTGGGGCAGGCTGTGCAGCCAGCACTCTGGGGCAGGGGCGGGCTGGTGGCCCATTCCACCAAGCCAGCCCGACCACCAGAGCTCAGGCTCTCACTCTTAGGTGGGCAAGCCCACTGAGCCCCCAGCCAGAGTGCCCCAGTGCAGAGCCTTGGGGAGCCTCCCACCTTTGGAGGTGCTGGTCCATCCCTGCTCTCCTGAGGCCATGTCAGGACACCCCCTGCTCGCTCCCACAGCCATCAGTCCCAGCGCCCCAGTAGGCATCATTTGGCAGGAAATGTCCAGGAGCAGCTGCTGATTCAGGGGCATTCCTGGCACAGTCGCTGAGGAGACTAACCCAATGGGCAGGTGTCTGAGTGGGCCTGACTGAGGGGGCAGACCATTTCCTGGGGGAGCGACGCTACATAGGTCTGGGGAGTGGTGGGAGTCAGTGGTCATGGGCCTGGGCATGAGGCGCCAGGCAGATGCGGGAGGTGACCCACAAGGCATGTCTGTTGAGTGCTCCCCCTGCCACATCAGCCCCAGATATTTCCTCAACAGCTGCCTTGTCCCTGTGTCACAGGTGAGGACTGGTGTGTCCGTCTTCCTCCTTCAGGGTGGGACAGGCTGTGATGTGTGTGGAGCCCAGAGGGTGCTTCAGGTCGGCTGGGGCAATTGGGTGGGCAGAGAGTGCTGGGGAGTGGTGGCTGGGGCCACTGATGCAGATGTGGGCCAAGGAAACGTCCCTTCCTACTGGGTTAAAGAATAAATGTGTCCAGAAAGGGCAAATCCAGAGGTCCCTAGATTGGATATCACTGCCCTCCAGGGACAGCCGAAGCCTGTCCACTGTAATGACAGGGCAGAACGACCAGCCTCTGCTTCAGAACAGTGTGGTGGGACCACCTATGGACCTGGGAAGCTGAAAAAAATCTGGATGTCTTAGGCCATGAGCCGAAGGGAAAACCTTAAAAGCAGTTATGTGATTGACTCTGAGGTAGCTTGGTAGAAGGTGCCAGTCCCAGTTCTGCCACATAAGACCAATTACCTCTCTGAGCTAGGGAAGATAGCAGAATGTGGCTTTTCTTCCTTCTGTGCCATGGCCAGGGACTGGCCCAGTGTAGACGGGTCAGTGACAAACCTGAGGGCTAGCACTGCAGTGAAGATGTGGCTGCAGAGAGCTCGGGCCAGCCAAGATGCACAGCCACAGCTGCCTCAGCTCCAGGCTGTGTGCAGAACCATGGTACCCGGGTTTGCAGCTCCCAACTGGCATCCTGACCATGGGAGGCCAACAGGGGTGGGTGCTGGTCACTGTGTGGGCTCTGAGAAGGCCAAGGTTCCCACATCCCCAAAGAGGCCAAAGCGGGCAGTGGCATGTTTGTGACCATCTGAGCAGAGGGGGCAGCTAGACGGCCCCCCCAGGCCTCCTTCACTGCAGGGTCAACAAAGAGTCAGGTTGTAAAATATTTGAAGAGATTTATTCTGACCCAAATATGAGTGGCCACAGCCCTCAGGAGGTCCTGAGAACGTGCCCAAAGTGTTCGGGACACAGCTTGGTTTTATACATTTTAGGGAGGCATGAGGCATCAATCAAATACATTTAAGAAATACATTAGTTTGGCTCAGAAAGGCGGGAAAACTCAAACAAGGTGGGGTGGGGGCCTTCCAGGCTATAGGTAAATTGAAACATTTTCTGGTTGGCACTTGGTTGTCTAAAGATCCGGGATCAATAGTAAGGAAATGTTCAGGTTACGATAAAAGATTGTGGGGACCAAGGTTCTTCTGAAATCTTATAGCGGCTGCCCTTAGAGACAACAGGTGACAAATATTTCCCAGTCAGACCTTTAAAAAGGTGCTAGACTCTTACTTAGCCTCTTTGGGACTGGAAGGGCCTGGAAGAAAGCAATCTAGCCATGTTAACAGATTCTTTACAGATGCACATTTTCCCCCACAAAGGACAGCTTTGCCAGGTCCATTTCAAGATGTGGCCAAGAAGCATGTTTTGGGGTAAAATACTTTGATTTTCTTCCTTGTCTTGTAATGTGATGATACAGTAAGGTTGGAAAGTAAGTTATGATAGACAGGGTTAAATAAAACCCATTTGATGAGAATTTATGGTTTTTAGGGCATAACTCCCCAGACCTCTTAGATAGGAAGTTGGGCAAGATAAAAAACATCAAAGCTCAGTCCTCACAGGGAATGGAGATGGGGGAGCAGATGTGTTATAGGAAAGGGGTCCCGATGCAGACTCCAAGAGAGGTTTCTTGGATCTCACACAAGAAAGAATTCAGGGCGAGTCCGCAGAGCAAAGTGAAAGCAAGTTTATTAAGGAATCAAAGAATGGCCACTCCACAGACGGAGCAGCCCCCAGGGTTGCTGGTTGCCCATTTTTATGGTTATTTCTTGATGATATGCTAAACAAGGGGTGGATTATTCATGCCTCCCCTTTTTAGACCATATAGCATAACTTCTTGTTATTGCCATGGCATTTGTAAACTGTCATGGGGCCAGTGGGAGTGTAGCAGTGAGGATGACCAGAGATCACTCTTGTGGCCATTTTGGTTTTGATAGGCTTTGGCTGGCTCCTTCACTGTAACCTGTTTTATCAGCAATGTCTTCATGACCTATAGTTTGTGCTGACCTCCTAGCTCATCCTGTCACTTAAAATGCCTTAGCTGTCTGGGAATGCAGCCCACTAGCTTTCAGCCTCATGTTACCCAGCTCCTATTCAACATGGAGTTGCTCTGGCTCATATGCCTCTGATAGATGGACCCCTGCCAGGGGCCAGGGTCTCACCTGGCCCTCCCCAGGACTGCCTCACCACTCCTCCCTCCCCAGGCCTGCAGGGACTTCCTGGAACTAGCAGAGATACACAGCCGGAAATGGCAGCGGGCGCTGCAGTATGAGCAGGAGCAGCGCGTGCACTTGGAGGAAACCATTGAGCAGCTGGCCAAGCAGCATAACAGCCTCGAGCGGGCCTTCCGCGGCGCCCCTGGCCGGCCGGCCAACCCCTCCAAGAGCTTCAGCGAGGGTGAGTGGGCGGCTGGGTCAGGGATGTCGCATGACCCTCTGCATACACAAATTCTGCTCTCCCACACGTACCCCTGGCCATGCCCACATGTGGGCTGCACTTGGCCAACTCTGGACTGCCTCTTCGTGGCTTTTGTATGTCCCATGCCCATCACCCACTGGCAAGTTTCCCTGCGCCCAGGTTCACATTCTCAAGAGTTAAGTTTAATGAGTCCAGCTGTCCCCTGTAACAGGGGTGTCCTGGTGCCAGGTGGCCACCCTCCTAGCCTTGGGTTGGAGGTCATGGGGACCCTGGGAAGGGGTCCATCAGAAAGGGAAGCTGGGCCACAGAAAGATGGACCCACAAGTTGAGATCAGGGGAGGCTTCCAGAAAGAGCCTCTGTGTGGTGAATGGGTTGAAAGGAAAGCACAGGATTCTAGCAGAGGGAACAAGAGTGGCCACAGCCCAGCGGATCAGGGCTGCCCAGGTGACTGAAGCAGGGAGGGGAGCAGGGCCAGACGGGGATGGAGGGAGGCAAGATGAGCCTTTTGTGAAGTTACAAACTAAGGCTCTGCCTGTGTCTCTAGGAAGCCTCTTGACTCCCAAAGGAGAGGACAGTGAGGAAGATGAAGATACCGAGTACTTTGATGCCATGGAAGATTCCACATCCTTCATCACCGTGATCACTGAGGCCAAGGAAGACAGGTGAGGTGGCTGCAGCTGGGCAGAGCCTCCCCCAGGGTCAGCCTTTCCTGCCCTGGCCTTTTCACCAGCTAACTACTTAGCTACTTGGGGTTTTCTTTCCTTTAAATCTTGCTTCAGCCAGGCCTAGTGGCTCCCGGCACTTTGGGAACCCAAGGTAAGAGGACTGCTTGAACCCAAGAGTTTGAGACCAGCCTGGGCAACACGGCAAAATCCTGTCTCTACAAAAAATACAAAAATTAGCCAGGCATGATGGTGCGTTCTTGTAGTCCCAGCTACTTGGGAGGCTGAGGTGGGAGGGTCACTTGAGCCCAAGGAGGTCAAGGCTGCAGTGAGCTATGATCGCACCACCGCACTCCAGCCTGGGCAACAGAGAGATCCTGTCTCCAAAAATCAATTATCTATTTATCTGTCTTGGTCCAGATAGGATTTCATTGCTGCGTGAGCCTCACAGAGTACACTTACACAACCTAGCTGGTAGAGCCTGCCACACACCAGGGCTATAAGGCACAGCCTATTGCTCCTGGGCTACAAACCTGTACAACATGTGAGTGTACAGTATATTGTAGGCAATTGTGACACTGGTAAGGATTTCTGTATGTGCACATGAAAAGGTATAGTTAAAACATAGTATGATACTCTCATGGGACCACTGTCATATACACTATCTGCCATTGAAATATTGTTATACAGTGCCTGTCTACACACACAGAACACACGGCAGTGACCAGGACATTTACAAGCAATGTAAACAATGTTGCCTGGATAGAGGATGGGCCAGGTCCCAAGGAAGCCTCGAGATTTGTCAATAACTTGCCTCCCGCTTTGTGCTCCCTGCAGAAAAGCTGAAGGTAGCAGTGGAACAAGTTCCGTGGACTGGAGCTCGACAGACAATGTAAGCGACGTGACAGGGGAGCACTGTAAGGGCCAGCAGGCAGGCCCAGCACTCTGGCTGCCTTCAGGTCCCTGATCTGCCTCCCATGCCCCCGTCCAGGAGCACCATCCTGCCCTTCCACCAGCAGTGTGCCGGTGGCCGGCGTGGTGCCCATCCTCAGTGGGGAGGGCAGAGACACCTGGAAGCCGAGGGGGTGCTCTGGCCTCCACTGATGGGGTGGCCCCACTCCTGTGGCAGATACTAGATGGTGCCTCACTCGTGCCCAAGGGTTCATCCAAAGTCAAGAGGCGAGTTCGCATCCCCAACAAGCCCAACTACAGCCTTAACCTCTGGAGCATCATGAAGAACTGCATCGGCCGGGAGCTCTCCAGGATCCCCATGCCGGTGGGTCCTCTGGGGCTGCTTTCCTGTGCATGGCTGAGAAGTAATGGCCTGTGTGAAGTACACACAGCCTTGGAATGTCATTTTCTTAATGGCATCTGAGGAGCATGTAACTAATTATCTAATCGTCTACACTGGCATTGCCCAATCTTCAAAAGTACAGGCATCTTTGGGCTCTGGTGAAAGGAGCCAGGGAGAAGCTCTGCATGGATCGGCAATGTGGGGAGCCCCAGAGCACCTCTGGTCTTTTCACCAGCTGTCTACTTAGCTACTTAGCTGGATCTCACAGGGCCTTACTGTGTCCCAGCTGTCCTGATCTGTAGATGGGGAGTGGCAGGATGGTGCTGTGTGTGGAGGGGTGGTCCGTCCTTCAGCTGGCAGCCATCCCTGGTGCCATCCCCAGGAAATGCAGGCTCAGTGTGGGCACACAGCTGAGGGCAGGGCTTGCATCCTCAAGCCAGCAGGATACGGTGGTATCTCCACCAGGCCAGACAGTTCCACTGTGTGACCCAGAACAAGTTCCTTCACATCTCCAGCATCTGTGTCCACATCTGCGGAGTGGGGAGAATCACAGCACCCCCTTCAGTGTCCGGGAGGATGGAGCAAGATAACACGGGGGAAGCTGAGACTCATACCCGATGGCATCATGGTGGAGAGACTGACCCTGCCCTATGTGACACCGAGACAGGAGCCCTGGGCCTCACCCGTCCTGGGCCAGGCCCCATCACAGCTCAGAACATGGGGAAGCCCCACTTCCTCCACCCACAGACTCGTGCTCATTCACTCACTGAAGATGCAGCAGTGGGCCAGGCAGAACCCCTAGCCTCGGTGGGTGGGTGTCCATGCAAGCCGGGGGAGCAACAGCGAACATAAGAGTGTGTTGGATGCAGCAGGCCAGGTGGGGAGGGCTGGAGAAAACAGGCAGGAGGGGCCAGGGAGGTGATGGCATGGGGGCCGCAGTGTTTCCCCGAACATCCGAGAAAAGTAAAGACACTGTGCCAAGCCAGGGCTGGTGCCCACCTGACTGCCCGCCCACCCACAGGTGAACTTCAACGAGCCCTTGTCCATGCTCCAGCGGCTGACGGAGGACCTGGAGTACCACCACCTGCTGGACAAGGCGGTGCACTGCACCAGCTCAGTGGAGCAGATGTGCCTGGTAGCCGCCTTCTCCGTGTCCTCCTACTCCACCACGGTACACCGCATCGCCAAGCCCTTCAACCCCATGCTGGGGGAGACTTTCGAGCTAGATCGCCTCGACGACATGGGCCTGCGCTCCCTCTGTGAGCAGGTGAGCAGGTCAGGCTGGCACTGGGTGGTGCCTGCCCACACTCTGGCCAGGCTGTTCCTGCCAGGCCCAGGGTGACAAATGGGATGTAGCCTCTGACCCCAACCGCCCATACCCAAGGGGCCATCTAGCTGAGGGCCAGACACAGGCACACAGCCTCCTGGAAACAGGGAGGGGCATGAGAGGACAGCCTGGTAAGGACAGGGTCGGGACTGGTGTGTAGAGAAGGGGACAGCAAGCTCCAGGCCAGGCTGCTGTGGGCACTGCTGGGGAGGAGTGTGGGGTCACCACCAAGCTGAAAGAAGCAGGCAGGAAGAGCCTGGGCTGTGCTTAGTGGGATGGACTCTGTCCTGGCCAGTGACAGCAGCCTGTCCCCACCACCCCTGCCCCACAGAGACTCGCCAAGACCCAGGCCCAGCAGCCAGGAGCCTCAGCAGTGGCAGCCCCATGCTGGGCCTCGGCGTCCTCGTTGGAAACGAGGCAATTCTGTTGGTGCCAGTGCTGCCCTGGCCCTTGGGATGAGCGTGGGATGCTGGTCATTCACAAATCCTGGGTGCTAGTTGAAGAGGCCGCAGCTGCTGTGAGGCCTTGTTAGGAGGTGGCTGCAGTGACCCACATAGGGGTGGGGTGCCCAGACCCGGGGAAGTGGGAAGCCAGAACACAGGCAGCTTTTGAAGGATGAGCCAGCCAGTTTGTCGACACTTTGGATAAGGGGTGGTCAGAGAGCAGCTTTGCTGATGCAGAGAGGTTGAGGGGAGGAAAGGAGCAGAGGTGGAGGGGAAGCAGCTGGAGGGCAGTGCACCCGGGGTGGTGGCTGCCTCCTGACCTATGAGAGGAGCCCTCTGCTGCAGTGGGGGAAGTGGCCCACAGGGAGGCCTGGGAAGCTGGAGGTAGGAGTGGAGGGGGCAGATGCTGGGTGCGATTTGAAGGAAGAACAGGCAGGCTTGCTCAGGGTTAGAGGAAGAGCGCAAGGAGGGCCAGAGAGGCTGCAGAGCGTGTGGTATAAGCGGCTGGAAAGGCAGGGTGCTGAGGTGAAGGCGAGGAGGAGGCAGAGCTTCCCACAGCCCCTTGGGGAGGCTAACAGCTGAGCTCAGGGCCAGCTCACCCATCTCCCGGGGTGGTTGGCAGCTGGGCCTGCACTCCTGGGACATAGGAAGCAAGTGGGCACCTCTTACAGAGACAGCAAATTAGGCCAGGCGCACTGGGGGCAGCGGGAGCCCAGGTTGAGCCTGTCCAGGGGCAGGGCTACACTGGTTTCTGTCCTAGGGAGTGAGTAGGCTCAGGAGAGGGAAGCCTGGGCCCCGGCCATCCAAAAACTAGCTATGCCTGCTGAGACAGGGCAGGCTGTCCCTCCCTGGCCGGGGGGAGGTGAGGCTGGGCTCGTGTCTGGCAGATGCTCACACCCTGTGGGTCTGGTCTCAGGTCAGCCACCACCCCCCCTCAGCTGCACACTACGTGTTCTCCAAGCATGGCTGGAGCCTCTGGCAGGAGATCACCATCTCCAGCAAGTTCCGGGGAAAATACATCTCCATTATGCCACTAGGTGAGCTGGGGCCCTGTGCCTTCCTGGGACAGAAAGACATTCTGCTTAAAAGGGAGGATTCTGCAGACACAAAAGCCTGCTGGGGGCTTCCAGGGGAGAATGCCCAGTAGGTCTGCCTCCCAAGACACCGGGATCTAAGGGCAGGCTGGCCAGAGCTCTGCATGGGGGGCATGACCTCTGACCTGTCCCCTGCCTCCAGGTGCCATCCACTTAGAATTCCAGGCCAGTGGGAATCACTACGTGTGGAGGAAGAGCACCTCAACGGTCCACAACATCATCGTGGGCAAGCTCTGGATCGACCAGGTCAGGGGCGCCCTTGGGGAGGGGGTGCACAGGCTGGGGGCTGGCCGCTGACGACGGCTCTCCTTCACCAGTCAGGGGACATAGAGATTGTGAACCATAAGACCAATGACCGATGCCAGCTGAAGTTCCTGCCCTACAGCTACTTCTCCAAAGAGCCAGCCCGGAAGGTAAGCAGGGCCGGCCACCTCTGAGCATCCCAGGGGGCCCAGAGCAGAGTGTACACCCATGCTGGTCCTGCCACTGTCCACAGGTAACAGGAGTGGTGAGTGACAGCCAGGGCAAGGCCCACTATGTGCTGTCCGGCTCGTGGGATGAACAAATGGAGTGCTCCAAGGTCGTGCATAGCAGCCCCAGCAGCCCCACCTCCGATGGGAAGCAGAAGACAGTGTACCAGACTCTGTCAGCCAAGCTGCTGTGGAAGAAGTACCCACTGCCGTAAGTAGCACTGGCAGGGGTCAAAGGAGAGAGGAGGAGGGCAGTGGACAGAAAGCAACTGACAGGCACAGGAGGTCAGGAGGGTTCAGTCCACACATGGGCAGAGAGGAGTCTTATGCAGCTGACATCCCAGTGTGAAGGCAGACTCCCAACAGTAAATACATGTCAAACTATCAGATGGTAGCAAACACTACGCAGACTTTAAATGAGGTGGTAGGACACAGCCCCTCCCTGTTCTTCCGTACAAGAAATACAAAACATACTTGAAAATAACCACAGGGAACAGCAAGCTATAAAACGTGGCATAGGAAGTTCCCAAGAGAACAAATCGAAATTCAACAAAGGAAAAATAACTGAAATTGAGAACCCGATGGAATTGTTTATAGCTAGACTTTATCATCTGAACACAGGTCAGAAGAAGTGATCGAACTGCATTTAAAAAGACAAAACCAGGTGGGCGTTAATCCCAGCACTGTGGGAGGCTGAGACTGGTGGATGACCTGAGGTCAGGAGTTCAAGACTAGCTTGGCCAAGATGGTGAAACCCTGTCTCATTAACTGGTGTGGTGGTATATGCATGTAATCCTAGCTGCTTCGGAAGCTGAGGCAGGAGAACTGCTTGAACCCGGGAGGTGGAGGTTGCAGTGAGCCAAGATCATACCATTGCACTCCAGCCTGGGAGAGAGTGAGATGCCATCTCAAAAAAAAAAAAAGATAAAACCCAGGAAAGACAAGAAGCTACAGGGAGAACACAGAATGAGGTCCCCGCAGCAGGCTCCCTGGCCTTCCAATGTCGAGTCTCCACCAAAATGAAGACCAAAAAAAAATTCTAATAGCTTCCAGCAAGAAGGAGATTTCAGTTGAGGATAAAAAGTCAGTCTGACATCAGATTTTTCAACAACCAACACTGGATTAATATTTTCTAAGTTATGAAATTAGAAAGTAGAATTTTCTATCTGGTCAAACTATCATTCACATATGTGGCCATATCCTTCGGCATGCAGCCTCAGAAGTTTTGCCTCACAAAATCGAACGATGAAAACATTATTGGGACGGGTGCAGTGGCTCCCGCCTGTAATCCCAGCACTTTGGGAGGCCAGGAGTTTGAGACTACCCTGGCCAACATGGTGAAACTGTCACTACTAATAATACAAAAATTAGCCAGATGTGGTGGTGGCGCCTGTAGTCCCAGTTACTCACAAGGCTGAAGCATGAGAATCATTTGAACCCAGGAGGTGGAAGTTACAATGAGCCAAGATCGTGCCACTGCACTCCAGCATTGGAGAGGGAAAAAAATGAAAACTATATTGGACATAGTACTTTAAAGGGGGGATGGGGGAGCAAGGACTTTACAATAGATGAATAAAGTAAGAGTGTTTTTTGTTGTTGTTTGTTTTGAGATGGACTCTCACTCTGTTGCCCAGGCTAGAATGCAGTGGCATGATCTCAGCTCACTGCAAACTCCACCTCCCAGGTTCAAGTGATTTTCCTGCCTCAGCCTCCTGAGTAGCTGGGACTATAGGCACCACCACCACACCCGGCTAATTTTTGTATTTCAGGTAGAGACAGGTTTTCACCATGTTGGCCAGTCTGGTCTTGAACTCCTGACCTCAAGTGATCGGCACCTCGTCCTCTCAAAGTGTTAGAATTACAAGTGTGAGCCACCACACCCAACCTAAAAGTTATTTTTTAAACAATTACTAGGATCAAAGAAAAATAGAAAATATGCCCGTAATAATGCAGATTTAAAAGTTTAGATAATGTTAGCATGAGGGAATTTGGGGAGAAGGGGAAGGACCTCAGGGATGTGAAGAAATGCTAAGTTCTTATTAGAAGGAAGAAGCATTTATAAGATTGTTATAGAGAAAATTGAAAAGTAGCACAAACAAAAACAGTGAATTAGCATAACAGCAATAGGTCCAAGTGTCAATGATTGCTTCATTGATAAACTTCATCTATTTATATTTTATTATAATCAGTTAAAAAGCAAAGTACTGACAAACTGGATTTTTTTTTTTTTTTAAGAGACAGAGTCTCGCCGTTATCCAGGCTGGCATTCAGTGGCACAATCACAGTTCACTGCAGCCTCAAACACCCATATTCAAGTGATTCTCCAACCTCACACTCCTGAATAGCTAGGACTATAGGTATGCACCACCATGCCTGGGTAATGTTAAAAAATTTTTTGTAGGGACAGGGTCTCACTATGTTGCCCTGTCCAATCTCAAATTCCTGGCCTCAAGTAATCTTCCAGCCTCAGCCTCTCAAAGTGCTGGGATTACAGACACAAGCCACTAACTCCAGCCTAATTGGATTTGTTAAAATCCGGATACCTGAGCCTTCTAATAGATTCCCAAAATATGAAGGTATACAAAAGTCAAAAGACATATATCATGAAAATACTAACCAGCAAAAGCTATAATAGCTATATTAATATCAAGTAAGATAGACTTTAGGACAAAAGCATTATTAAGGAAGGGAAAGTTGCTATATAATAAAAGGTTGAGTTCAACAAAAAATATAATATTTTTAAACATTATGCATATAATTAAAATGCCTCAAATATATACAAAGCACATATTGATACTTAAGGAAGAAATGGATAAATCCATCACCACAGTAGGAGACTGGGAGGTTTCTAAATACCTTGCTCACTTGCAGATAGGTCAAATGGAAAAAATTAAAAACAATCCAGCAAGTATATGGAGACTGAAACAATACAGGCTATACAGACTCACGGATGCCACCCTGAGAAAATACTTTTTCTCAAGTATACATGGATTGTATGCAAAAATTGATCATGGACTAAACCCTAATGAAAGCCTCACGGATGTACAGATCTGTGATGGCAGGTGGATCACCTGAGGTCAGGAGTTCTAGACTATCCTGGCCAAAATGGTGAAACCCCGTTTCTACTAAAAATACAAAAATTAGCTAGAAATAGTGGCAAGTGCCTATAATCCTACTCTGGAGGCTAAGGTGGGAGAATCGCTTGAACCTGGGAGGCAGAGGTTACAGTGAGCTGAGATGGCGCCAGTGTACTCCAGGCTAGGTGACAGAGTGAGACTCCGTCTCAGGAAAAGAAAAAATTACACTGGCTGGATCCAACAAAAGCAACGCTTTGAAGGAAATATGTGGCCTTAAATCATTTAAATAATGTCGAGGCTTTCTCCTTTCTGAGTATCAATTCTAATATTAGAAAGTTCAACATAGAAATTCAAAGAGACCTCATCCCTACCAAAAAAACAAAGATTTCTTTTTCTCAATTAGCCAGGCATGATGCTGCATTGCCTGTAGTCCTGGCTACTCAGAAGGACTGAGATGGGAGGATCACTTCGGCCCAGGAGGTCAAGGCTGCTGCAAGTTGTCAACACACCACTGCACTCCAGCCTGTCTTGCTCCAGACAGAGCAAGACCCTGTCCCAAAAAATAATAATTTTGGCCAGGTGTGGTGGTTCATGCCTATAATCTCCAGTATTATTCCATTTTCACACTACTATAAAGATACTACCAGAGATTGGGTAATTTATAAAGGAAAGAGGTTTCATTAACTCACAGTTCTGCATGATTAAAGAAGCCTCAGGAAACTCAATCATGGTGTAAGGTGAAAGAACCAAGTAACTTCTTCACAAGGCAGCAGGAGAGAGCAGGGGAAACAGCCACTTACAAAACCATGAGATCTCGTGAGAACTCACTCACTCTCACAAGAACAGTGACCACCCCCATGGTCTAATCACCTCCCACAAGGTCCCTCCCCTGACGTGGGGATTACAATTTAGATTATAATTTGAGATGAGATTTGGATGGGGACATAGCCAACCCATATCATCTTACCATTTTGCAAGGCCAAGTTGGGAAGATTGCTTGAGGTTCAAGAATTTGAGACGAGCCTGGGTAACGTGGCAAGTCCCCATCTATATATCAATAATAAGAAGAAGAATAAAAGAAGAAATCAATAAAAAGATAAAGCCAAAAGTGGATTCTTTGAGGCACAAAAAACTGTCAAATTAGGAAACTACTGGCAAGACTGATCAAGATAGAAATAAGTATTATTAATGAAAAAGGTTTAATGTGACATATGAAGTATAAAGACATGATTAAAACTTAGAGGAACAAATTCTTAGAAAACTACAACAAGAACTAACTCTAGCTGGGCACAGTGGCTCACACCTATAATTCCAGCACTTTGGAGAGGCAAGGCAGTTGGATCATTTTTAAGCCCATGAGTTCAAGACCAACCTGGGCAACAGCAAGATCCTGTCTCTACAAAAAAAAAAAAAAAAAAAAAAGAGAGAACTGACTTCCAGAACAAATAAAACACATGACTACTCCTATAATAAAGTAACTGAGGCAACAGTTTAGAAATTACCATAAGAAAAGCACAAGGCCCAGTTAATTTTACAGGTGAATTCTCCCAATTTTTCCAGAATCATTATTCCAATTTTATATAAAATGTTCCAGATCATAGAAAAAGGAAATAATTACCTGTCCTATACTGTGAAGCCAAGATAACCCTTATACCAAATTGGGCTAAACTAGCAGTAGGAAAAAAAAGTTCTACCCTATTTCACTTATATTAATAAATATATAAGGAAAAATCCAAAACAAGATTGAATTTATCCTGGGTATACAGAATGATTTCATATTAGAAAAATTCATAGAGTAATCATATTCACAGGTTTCAATAGATTCAGAAAAAGCATTTTAGTGCCTAGATGCCTAGATATAAGATTAATATACAAAAGCCAACTGCATTTCTATATACTAACAGCAAACAACTAGAAAAATGTAATTTAAGACAAGACACCAAGGCTGAGCATAATGGCTCACACCTGTAATCCCAGCACTTTGGGAGGCTGAGGCAGGCAGATCACCCGAGGTCGGGAGTTTGAGACCAGCCTGACCAACATGGAGAAACCCTATCTCTACTGAAATACAAAATTAGCCAGGCATGGTGGCACATGCCTGTAATCTTAGCTACTCGGGAGGCTGAGGCAGGAAAATCACTTGAACCTGGGAGGCGGAGGTTGCAGTGAGCCGAGATTGTACCATTGCACTCCAGCATGGGCAACAAGAGCGAAACTCTGTCTCAAAAATAAATAAATAAATAAATAAATAAATAAATAAATGACACCAATAAACAGCATATAATATCAAGGACCTCTATAGGGAGTATTATAAAGCTTTAATAAGAGATACCAAAGAAGAGCTAAATAAATGGCGAAATATACAAAGTATTGTAAAGATGTCATGATCTAAAAAGTCAGTAAATCAAACAAAACCCCAATACGGACTTTCATGGAACTTGATATTAGAATTTTTAAAATTTATATTGAGATATAAAGGGCCAAGACATTTCTGAAGACCAGAGAGGACTTGCCCTACTAGATACCAGGATTTTTATTTTGAAACTATAGTTAACAGAATAGTGAGCCCAGAAACAGACCTAGGGATATATGTATCTCTGATATATGACAGAGGTGGCATATCAGATCTTGTGGGAAAGATGGAATGGCTCACCAAATGGATCTGGGTAAAAATGATTGTCCCTATGGAAAAAGATGAACTTAATTGCTCCATCACATTATAAAGAAAATCAACTCCAAATAATGGCCTTACAAATAATATTACGTTTGACTTACTGTAAACAGTGACTTAAGTTTAAAAGCATAAATATCTTTCAGACCTTAAGGAAATATTAAAGCACAAACGTTAATATATTTGACCATATTAAAATACTTTTGTTCATTGAGAACTTTTACTCACTAAAAGGCAATTTAACAAAAGCGAACAGACGATGCATAAACAAACTTGGAGAAGGTAATCATAATACATACCTACGCTTGACAGAGGATTATTATAAAGAATACAGAGTATTTTATCACAGTGAAAAATAATAATTTTAAAAAGATCACATAAAGAACTTTTTTTTTTCTTGAGGTGGCATCTCACTCTGTCACCCAGGCTAGAGTGCAGTGGTGAAATCTCGGCTCACTGCAAACTCCGCCTCCGGGTTCAAGCGATTCTCCTGTCTCAGCCTCCTGAGGATCTGGGATTACAAGCACATGCCACGATGCCTGACTAATTTTTGTATTTTTAGGAGGGACGGGGTTTTGCCATGTTGGCCAGGGTGGTCTCGAACTCCTAACCTCAGGTGATCTGCCTGCCTCCACATCCCAAAGTGCTGGGTGGCATGAGCCACTGTGCCCAGCCCACATAAAGAAATTCTAATCAACAAATAATATAAAAGTAATGGGAAAATGTGCAAGAGTCATGAACAAGAATTTTGCAGAAAAAAAAAATATATGGCCAGTTCATCACATAAAAACTATGTATGTTGAAGAAGCCACAGATCTACAGGATCTGATACATTGCTGCTGGCAGTGTAAATTGGTGCAAGACTCTGGAAAACAGTTTGGCTTTAGTTCTTAAAGATGAACAATCCGATGGACATGGTGGCTCACGCCTGTAATCCCAGCCCTTTGGGAGGCCAAGGGAGGGGGACCACCTGAGGTCAAGAATTCGACCCCAGCCTGGCCAACATGGTAAAACCATGTCTCTACTAAAAATACAAAACTTAGCCAGGCGTGGCCAGGGTTCCCACAGCCAGAAGGATTCACCCACAGAGCCCCTCTACAGAGCATACATAAGAAATCTACCTTTTAATATGTTTCAGGGAGACACAGATGCTATCTTTCAGGATCTCAGCATAAGGAGTATATAGCTAGTCAGAGACAAAGACACAGACAAATTTAAAGGATTCTACTATAGGCTGGGCGCGGTGGCTCAAGCCTGTAATCCCAGCACTTTGGGAGGCTGAGGCAGGTGGATCATGAGGTCAGGAGATCGAGACCATCCTGGTCAGTATGGTGAAACCCCGTCTCTACTAAAAATACAAAAAAAATTAGCTGGGCGTGGTGGCGTGTGCCTGTAGTCCCGGCTACTCAGGAGGCTAAGGCAGGAGAATTGCCTGAACCCAGGAGGCGGAGGTTGCGGTGAGCCGAGATCGCGCCATTGCGCTCCAGCCTGGGTAACAAGAGAGAAACTCCGTCTCAAAAAAAAAAAAAAAAAAGGATTCTACTATATAGAATTTGATGAAGCGGATTCCCTTAAGGAAGCTTTGAAATATGATGGTGCACTGTTGGGTGATCAGTCACTTGATGTGGACACTGCAGAAGGCAGAAAGCAAGATAAAGGCAGCTTTGGATTCAGAAAAGGTGGACTAGATGACGAGGCTTCAAGGATGACTTCTTAGGAGGCCGGGGAAGTAGTCACCCAGCTGACTGGTGAACAGGCCCCACAATGGGCAGCCGCTTCAGAGATGGCCCTCCACTGATCCAACATGATTTCAGAGAACGGACAAAAGAGGGAAGAACAGAGACCACGGCTCCAGCAACCTCAAACCATTGCAACACTCCTCAATCAAGTAGCCAATCCCAACTCTGCTATCTTCGAGGGTGCCAAAACGAGAGAGGAAGTCATTCACAAGGAGCAAGAATGAGCCTGCGGTTGGGAAGGAATGGGCTGTGGGGGGATTGGAGCAGGACCACAGCCTGGTGACCACCTCCCCCCTCCAGGCGTTCCTGCAGCTTCCACTCCTGTGCCTGCCATTGCCCTCCCCACACAGCTTGCTGAGCGTATACCAGCTGTTAAAAAGCTGTTTTTAGTACATTCTGGGCTTTGCTGTATCTATCTAGTACCTGTTTGTCCATTTTGTGTGTGTGTTATTTTTTGTTGTTTTGTTTGAGAGGGAGCCTCGCTCTGTTGGCCAGGCTGGAGTGCAGTGGTGTGATCTCAGCTCACTACAACCTCCACCTCCCAGGTTCAAGTGATTTTCCTGTAGCTGGGACTACAGGCATGTGCCACCACACCCAGCTATTTTTTTGTATTTTTAGTAGAGACAGGGTTTCACTGTGTTATCCAGGATGGTCTCGATCTCCTGACCTCGTGATCTGCCCGCCTCAGCCTCCTAAAGTGCTGGGAGGGGAACCTCGACCACATGTTCCAACTGGTCCACTGGATGTGGTCGAGGGTCCCCTCTCTGGTCAGCTGCAGTGAATGGCCAGCTGGTTTCTTTTCTGCTGGGCCAAGGCACTTTGGGAGTCCGGGGGTAGTGCTGGTGCTGTGCTGGGCGGACTGCAGCATTGACATGGCATTTTCCCAAATCCCTGTGGCTTGTGTTTGTTTCTCTGTTCCTAGCATAGGCAACATAATGAGATACTGTGCTTCCCAACTCCCCTTCAATTCATAGCCAAAATGGGTCTAGAATCTGGTACTTTGCTCATTTCCTTTGATAAATTAAATTGCACTATGCAGAGCTGTCAGGAACCGTCAGATAACCACATAGGACTGCAGCTGTCTAGGTCTGTGGCCGCATCTTAGGGACACACTTGATTGTTTCCACATGTAGGGTTCAGCAGTTACCTGGGAGGGGCTAGGCTTTTGAGCTTGAATGCCTGCCTGTGAACAGATGAAAAATCCTTCAGTACCCAAATCCCGGTCTATCCTATGGGGAGCAGTTGGGCCAGCCAGCAGCAAGCGCCTAGGAAGGAGACCCTCGCTGGGTGATGGCAGGGCCCAGGGTGGCCTGGGGCGTCCAGTGTAGTGTGCTTAGTAATTGGTCACTAGCCGTCATCCCTGGCTTCTCCTACTTTGTCTCTGTTACAAGCCCTCAGCAATCCACAGAACTCTCTCTCCTTCATTCCCCCATCAGCTTCTCTGCTTCTGAGATAAGAACCATTTGTGTAACACCAATACTTAAGAAAGACATGCATTATGTGGTGTCATCAAACCGGATGCCTTCAGATGACTACTTACATCTTCAATGTGGATAAGAGAAAGAAACAAAACAAATGCATCCAAATTCCTGGGCAACCCAGTTGATTTTCTTCAAATTAAGAATGGAATTCCAAACACAACACATTCAGCTACATTGCAGAAAGTAAATCTATGAATATGGTATTTTGTGAATGCTCTTTTAAAATAAAACCTTACATAATTAAAATATAGATATCTTAGGAAAGATGGACTAACTTACAACCCAAGTAGAGAAAGTACACACAAGGCCTACTGGACAGCCATACAACCCTGCACTCAACAACCGTGGCAAATGCGTTCTCTTCAATCACATGGAGCGTGTGGAAAAACTGCCCATATACTGGGCCATAAAGCAAATTTCAAAGGACTAAAATTATGCCAACTATGTTGTCTGACTCCAAGGCAATTATGACAGAAAAAAATGACTAGAAAAATCCCCATCTGGGATGGGCGCAGTGGCTCATGCCTGTAATCCCAACACTTTGGGAGGCCAAGAGAGGCTGACTAGTTGAGGTCAGGAGTTCAAGACCAGCCTGGCCAACGTGAGAAAACCCTGTCTCTACTAAAAATACAATAAAATTAGTTGGGCATGGTGGCATGCCCTGAAATCCCAGCTACTCAGGAGGATAAGACAACAGAGTTGCTTAAACCCAGGAGGCAGAGGCTGCAGTGAGCAGAGATCATGCCACTGCTCTCCAGCCTGGGTCACAGAACATGACCCTTTTTTTTTTTTTTTTAAGATGTTGTCTCGCACTGTCACTCAGGCTGCAGTGCAATGGTGCAATCTTGGCTCACCGCAACTTCCACCTCCCAGGTTCAAGTGATTCTCCTGCCTCAGCCTGAGGCCAGTAGCTGGGATTATAGGCACCCACTACCACGCCCAGCTAATTTTTATATTTTCAATAAAGACAGGGTTTCACCATGTTGGCCAGGCTGGCCTTGAACTGACCTGACGTGATCCACCCACTTGGCCTCCCAAAGTGTGGGATTACAGGAGTGAGCCACTGTCCCCTGCCAAGACCTTGTCTAATAAATAAATAAAACAAAACAGACTAGGCACAGTTGCTCACGCCTGTAATCCCAGCACTTTGGGAGGCCAAGGTGGGTGGATCACCCACCTGAGGTCAGGAGTTTGAGACCAGCCTGGCCAACATGACAAAACCCCATCTCTACTAAAAATACAATAAAATTAGCTGAGATGTTGCCTTGCACTGTCACCTGGGCTGGAGTGCAATGGTTCAATCTAGGCTCACGGCAACCTCTGCCTCCTGGATTCAATTCTCCTGCCTCAGCCTGAGGCCAGTAGCTAGATGTTGCCCAGGCTAGTCTCAAACTCCTAACCTCAAGTGATCCACCAGCCTCGGCCTCCCAAAGTGCTGGGATTACAGGCATGAGCCACCGTGCCATCTTAAAAAAAAAAAAAAAAAGACCAGGCAAGGTGGCTCACGCCTATAATCCCAGCATTTTGGGAGGCTAAGGCAGGTGGATGACCTGAGGTCACAAGTTCGAGACCAGCCTTGCCAAAATGGAGAAACCCCGTCTCTACCGAAAATACAAAAATTAGCTGGGTGTAGTGGCATGTGCCTGTAATCCCAGCTACTCGGGAAGCTGAGGCAAGAGAATCGCTTGAACCTGGGAGGCAGAGGTTATGGTGAGCCAAGATCACACCATTGCACTCCAGCCTAAGCAACAAGCATCTCAAAAAACAAAGCACATAATAAAAAAGAAGAAAGGCAATTCCTAAGCTAGGCAATTCCCAGAGAAGTCTCATGTGGCAAAACAGCGACAGGTTGGACACCTGAGCATGGGAGGTGCAAGGAGTGGAAGGCAGCTGTCTACAGCCACTGGGTTCCACTGGGTGGGCTCACTGGGGTGGGCCCAGGGCCAAAGGGAGCCCTGGACATGGGGTGCTAGAGGGTGAGGCAGCCTGGGAGGGGAGACCCTACCAAGCAGGGGGGAGGTGACAAGGCATATATAGTCCAGCTCACCCCACTCCCACCGCCACAGGGAGAATGCAGAGAACATGTACTACTTCTCAGAGCTAGCCCTGACCCTCAATGAGCACGAAGAGGGCGTAGCACCCACCGACAGCCGCCTGCGGCCCGACCAGCGGCTGATGGAAAAGGGCCGCTGGGACGAAGCCAACACAGAGAAGCAGCGGCTAGAGGAGAAGCAGCGCCTGTCCCGGCGCCGGCGGCTGGAGGCCTGCGTGCCTGGGAGCAGCTGCAGCTCGGAGGAAGGTGAGGCCGGGGTGGGGGGGGGGGGCTGGAGAGGAGGAAAGGGGTGCTGGGATGGGGGTGTCCCACAGGGACGGATTCCCGGGGAGCAGGCTGCCAGCCCACCCACCAGCCTACTATGCCTGACCAGCAGAGAAGGAGGCGGACACCTACACGCCACTGTGGTTTGAGAAGAGGCTGGACCCACTGACCGGGGAGATGGCCTGTGTGTACAAGGGCGGCTACTGGGAGGCCAAGGAGAAACAAGACTGGCACATGTGCCCCAACATCTTCTGAGCACCATGCCTGCAGCAAATACAGGCGCCTGCACAGCCCAGCCCACCTGTTCTTTAATGCACTCAATTTAGTACTGAATGGTCTTCCTCCCAGCACTCCCAGCCCTTCCTATTTCCTTTCCTATTTTTTTTCCCCACACTTTCTTGGGACTCCCACCTTGGAAGGAGGAAGGGCTGACCTGGGTTCTCTCCAGCCCCCAGGTGCACCCAATCACCTGTGCCCCTTCCTTATGGCCCTGGGCCCTACTCAACCCCTGCCCCAGTTACCACAACTCAGGCCGGCTGGCCCGGGTCATGGGCTGCACAAATCACCAGCCCCCAACCCAGGGAGGAACTGACCCCTCCTAGGGAGCCTCTTTTACTTTTTTAGAAAAACGATCTCCATTTCTTTCAGCCATGATATTTAGTAAATATTTTTAGTACCACACTTAGCAGACAGCTTTCCGAGTGTGCTTTCTTGCCACAAAAGTGTCCTGGCAAGAGCTCCTTATTTTTAAGATATCAGGAAGCCAGATCCCTATGAGTTGGAGGAATTTTGTGGCTCAACATATCAAATCCTTGGTGGTATCTGAGCGGCCCACACCTCCACCCGACAGGGCCCCACAGAACCCAAAACAGGGTGGCTGCCCCAGCCCAGCAGAGCATAGGGAGTTTCTGGAGCTCCCACCCGCAGACAGAGGAGAGGGTACTAAGGGCATCCCCCATGTGGATTTGAGGACAGCAGCCCCTGGCCTCACCCTGCCCAGCCTGGGTGGCTCCCTAGCCCCAAGAGGCCAGGAAGGGCTGGAGGCAGGGCCTGCAGGTGCTCCCCACCCCGAGACCAGGCCCCAAATCAGCAATAATGAACAAACCCTCAGCTCAGCCTGGGCTGGTGACCCGGGCACCAGAGACCCTGCATCCCGCCTCCGTCCTAGGAGGCCCCTGGGGATGCCCCATCTGTGCCCCCTGAACTCTTTATTTGCCTAATTTATATATATATGATATATAAATATATATATAATAGCTATTTTGCTTAAATTTCTACAGTATGTAAAAGTGAAAAATGATGAAGACAGGCATGCCTGTCTGAGTTTGGCCCTCATGTCAGCTGTGCCCTTCCCGCTCCTCAAGCCCCCTTCCAGTGGCTTCTGCCAGCCATGGGGGGCTGGACCACCATGGCACTGACCCAGCCCCTCAGAACCCCACACTCCAGTCCTTTCCATTCAGTTTAGTCCTAAAAGTTCATCACAGGGTTTTTCTTTCTACTTCAGGACTGGTTTTGTTTTTATATTAAAAAAAAAAAAAGTGAAAACACTAATGGTGAAATGCCTTATTATGCCCACTGGAGAGGTGGGGCAGGGTGGAGCAGGGCCCCACTGGGGCTCTCACAGAGCTGTGGAACATACCTCTCCCCAGTGCTCTTTGAGCAAGCACCTTTTGACCAGTAATAAAAACCTTGGCTTTGGAGTTTTCCACTGCCCTGTCCCTCAGTCTATCTGTGTCTGGGTGGAGGGGGCTGACATAGAATGGCAGGGCCTACAAGGTGGCATGGGGTGAAGCTGCAGAGAGGTTCAGGGGAGGAGAGGAGGTGGGAGACCCAGGAAGGCTGCCCAAAGGGCTGGGGAGAGGGTCGCAGCTCTGCCAAAGGCTATCCTGATGTTGTGACCTGGACCCAGCTCTGCCCTGTGGAAGGGCAGTGTTTTAGCCAGGTGGAGACCACCAGCAGGCCCCTCCTATGTCTCAGTTCCTGGAGCTGTCTAGAGGAAGTCCTCCGGGGGAAGGCCAGCCCTGGTGAGTTCTGTGTCACTTGACAGCAGCAGCCTGGGCTGCACTTCCAGGCGAGGGATGGGTGGAGCAGGGCACCCTGGGGGCATCAGGGCCAGTGCTCTCACCATCTGCCTCCATACCGCAGTGCTGTGGGATCCGAGGCTGGCCCTGCATAGCTCCTTCCCTGGCCAGGTTTCCCCATATGTAGGGAGGTGGCCTCTGGGGAGATCCCAGCTGAGGAGCTGGAGGGGCAGGTCTCACTGGAATAGAGGTGAGGGGGACCCTCAGGATTCACCTGACCCAGAAGACAAGGGAGGAGACAAAGGCCAGTCTACTGAGGCAAAGACAAAGCTCTGAAGAGCTTGAACAGGAAGTGACATCAGGGCAATGTTCTACAAAGACCACTCTGACCAGCAGGACACAAGATCGACCAACACCCAGTTGTCTCATACACTAGCCATCACTGAGTAGGAAATGTAATAGAAAAAAAGATTTACAACATACGACATCTGACAAAAAGACACAAAACCTGTAAAAGATCTGTATGGATATGACAGAGAGGACCTGAGTTAAGAGGAAAATACTGTCTTCAAAGATAGGTTCACATTCAGTTATGTCAGTCCCAAACCTACAAAGTCAACATGATCCCTACCAAAATCCTAACAATATCGTTCAAAAGCCTGAAAAGTTGATTGTGAAATTTATATGGGAGAGTAATTGTTTAAAAAAAAAAAAAAAAAAAAAAAGCCAGGCACCATGGCTCATGCCTGTAATCCCAGCACTTTGGTAGGCCAAGGTGGGTGATCACAAGGTCAGGAGTTCGAGACCAACCTGGACAAAATGGTGAAACCCCAACTCTACTAAAAATACAAAAAAAATTAGCAGGGTATGGTGGCAGAAGCCTGTAATCTCAGCTACTCGAGAGGCTG